GATGGATGGATGGATGGATGGATGGATGGATGGATGGATGGATGGATGGATGGATGGATGGATGGATGGATAGATGGATGGATAGATGGATAGATGGATAGATAGATAGATAGATAGATAGATAGATAGATAGATAGATAGATAGATAGATAGATAGATAGATAGATAGATAGATAGATAGATAGATAGATGGATAGATAGATATGAAATATTAAGTTTTTAATAATGTAGGTTCTAGGGTGATACTTAATAGAGGACACCTGCTTAGTTGAGGTGACTAAAAGAAATCATAAAATTTTATCTAGTTCTTTTGTCGTAAATGTTTATGATATAAGCAAAGTTAGACTTCTGGTTCATCAACTTATAGGTCTACCGTTAAAAACGCGTTGTTTTCTTTATTTAAGATTAGTAATTTTTGTTGTCTTTCGCATGCAAATTAAATTTTGCGAAGCCTGGCACGCGTGCCTTTTGGTTCTCAACAATGCTCATTTTATTTTTTATTTTTTTTTTTTTTTTTTTTTTTTTTTTTTTTTTTTTTTTTTTTTTTTTTTTTTTTTTTTTTTTTTTGGTGTTCGTAACATTAAAGTGGTATTCCCAAACTTTGGTGTATGATACACTCGAGCGGAAATTGCATATCGTAAATGGACATTAGTGTCTTAGAGACGAGATTTGTTTAAGTTAATAATACATTTAAATTTGCTGGCAAATGTAGTTAACATATTCTTATTTATTGTCGTTTATTGCCAAATGACTAATTATATTGTATAGCTTTTCCTGTTACGCTATAGTGTTTTCCCTTGGCTCTGACATCATTAACGAAAAGTGTGAGTGTACGTGTGTGTGTGTGTGGGGCNCCCTTGGCTCTGACATCATTAACGAAAAGTGTGAGTGTACGTGTGTGTGTGTGTGGGGCGGGGGGGGGGGGGTTTAACACGTTTTAGGTCCTCATGTGGGTCTGATGAAAAAAAGTGAAACAATTCATGAGCCCATAACTTCAAAGTTGATTAGCATTATATACGTATTTTTTTTGTTTATTTGACATATGTTAGTTATAACATAGCAAGTATACTACTTTATATATAATTAGTATTAGACCAATGTCAAAGATGTACACGTATTAAGTTGTTGTTGCTTTTAAATTTATTACATTTTTTTTCAAATGCTAATTTAAAGATAATGATGATTCGATAGCAAACAATTTTAATACACTATTATATTTATTACTTTTTTAATCACTTTATTTTTAGGAGAAAATATAATAATAAGGTAAGTGACACATGTACTCAATTCTTTAACAAAAAAAAAAAGAAAGAAATACCAAAAATGAATAGTCTGCAGTTTTTTGTAACTATTTCCTGTCCGTACTAGATACATAAAATAAGATTCTTGAAAGTTAGAAAAAAGTGCATAACATTCTCTAGTCTAGACAAGAGATATATTCAATGGATGAGCTACGTAAATAAAACGTTACCACATCATTCAACAGAGCCTAGGAGAACGGGGAGACGGCTGACAACCGTGTAAAAAATGAAATAATACAGGAAAGTCAGCAACATTAGAAGTAAAAATGGGGCATTGATAACGAGTGTATTGGCTTTCAGTGGCGGTAAATAAGGTAGTGAAATGTCCTGAGAATACGATGAATTTAACAGCAATAACAATTACCAAAACTACTCTCAATTCACTGAATGTCCTAATCAAATGTACATATTATTTTATAATTATAGCTCATATTATTAGATTTCGATTTAATATGAGTGTTTGGATGTATAGCAGACCAGTTTACTACTCTGCTATTGATGTAGAAACTACATTTTTAAGCCTAAAATTACTGCACTACAACGAAACTTAAAAAACCTGCTTTTACGCACTGTTATCAGTAAGGGAAAATAATCTCCTGTTAGATGTATGGCTCGTTCCACAACAGTGCATAACAGTGCATATATATTTATGTCTCTGTGTGTGTCTGTGGAATAAGTTAGGGAGATAAAATTACTTAATGGCAACCAACTGCCTTTAGTTTACAAGGCAATTCAGAAATTCTGATGATATTCCTCCGAAAGAAATTATTTCAATCTTAAGCTCAGTTTAAATGATCAAATTTTCATCGAATGTGCTCCAAATTTTCTTAATATTTCTTTTGAACGCATTAATTTTTGGTAAAACATATTGGTTTCAAAACGAAATTTGATGAAAATTTGATGGAAACTAGATACTGCAAACTGTTTATAAGCAAACAAAGACACTTTTAAGTTAAAAACATGTATTACTGTTCTTAGTCACTATGGAACTTATCAAGTTTTGTGCTATAGCCAAGAACATAAGACTTGACACCTTCATCATAAATGGTTATCGACAACCTATTTTTAGTAGTTTTATCTTAGTTTAAAAAAATATGTTATTAAAAATTTCAATAACATTGACTGATGGTAGCATTTATTGGGAATCTTATTAAGTATGTTACTTGAATGTATGTTTGTTAATTATCAGGCATTGCAGCCGCCATGATTTGGTATTACATAGGTTAAAGCTAGTTTTTTTTTCTTTTAAACCTATGATTTTCTTTTAATTATATTTCTGTGCTGGTAGAAAAACCAACAGCGACAAATCCAAGGGAGGGGGATAAGCAATATATGTTAACAAAAATTACTGTATTATCAAAAACAGTACAGTGCAACATGTAGCCTGTACACGTGCCATAGAACTACTCTGAATCACTTTAAAATAACTTTAATTACCTAGAGATTTCACCTAAATCTGTAATCATCCTCACTTACATTCCACCAAATGCTAACATGCTGCAGGCTATTGAGAGATTTTTTCCTTGAAAATTAAGATTCCGAAGTTCAGGCATTCAGCGTGCTCCCCCATGAAGTCACGAATTTTAATGAGAACTAATAAGTCCCTGATATGTCT